AAGTATGGTATAGGGAAGCGTCTCGAGGGCTACGGCTGTGACCTCCATACAGCTCTTTTGTCAAGTGCCATTTCATTAAAAAATCAGCCTTTTAACTGTGGACACATTTCAACCTCACCAAATCTGCTAATTATTGACAGTTGGTGAAGAGGAGATTTCACTTGTTCCTCCTGTTAAACTGCATCTAATTAGTAATTACTGGTTCACTGTCATCTTTACTGCAATAATCCCACTGCACATTGGCTCATTAACCTTTTGCTTTTCTAAAGCAGCCTGCCAACAAGATGAAGGCTAAAACAGATTGGAAAACAATAGCTCAGCCTTGGATTTTAGGCTGTTTATTCCCCTTGTCCTGGAGATCCAAAAGGAAGATTATTTTTAAGAAAAGGCTTTCAGCTGAAATCAGCCTAATTCCGGAAGATGGCTTGTTTTGCCCTAACCAGCAACCAAGGTCCTTTAAACTTAACCCGTGGTGAGGGCGTGTGTATTAGAGCTAGCGGAAGGGTCTTCTCTGCCATCAGCTCTTGCTTCAGCTCCATTTCTCACCTGGGTTTATCCTTTATCAGCACGATCCAGCACACTGGGCATGGGATGGGGCAAGTTCCGGTGGGTTTGCAGCACCCTGGAAGTTCAAAAGCATCCTCTTGGATGCTGAAAAATGAATGAGCTGGATGAGCAGGGACCAAAGGGTGGAAAATCAGTGGAGCAACCCCATGGTTATTTCTTTTGCTGCTACACTGAATTTCATTTGCACAAGTCCCATTTTCAGTTTGGAACTGTCACAGCTGTTTCTATTGGCAGTGCATAGCTGAGTAGGAGTTGTCAGTGGGGATGCTGTAGGATAGGCGGTTAGAGAAGAGATTCCCCGGGGGGCATGGGAGGCAGTTGGAGGTTGTGGGCTAAATGCATTAACTAGATGTTTCTCCTAAACTTAACAGCAGTGAAGTACTTAATGCATATTGATGCATTTAGGTACCGGAGTTAACACTATATTGGGATGAAAAGTGTCTTTCTCAGTATCTTAAGCGTGCTTAGTCGCAAGAACCCATGTCTTTACGGCTGACACTAGGGTTTTATTTTTGTAAGGTGATCTTCAGAACCCTAACATCTAGAAACAAGTTGTGATTCTGGAGCACCGCTGCAGATGTCAAAGTGGATTCCATCTGTACAAAATCAAGAAAGGCAGAAGGTCTTCGCTAGACTAAATACCGACCCAAAAGAAGATCTGGATGCATTATCCTTCCCAGCACATGAAGGTTGTTCAGCTCCAGAATTTTCATTTACCTGATATCAATTGGTGTTTCTGTATGCAACCAGAGCTGAATTCTGATTTCTCTCATGTTACTTTAAAACAGGTATAACTCTGAAGCAGCTACAACTGATGTGATAAGGTGGCTGCATTTACCTAGCATGTTTAGTAAATCTATTGCAAGGCTTCAATTCTGCTTGAAAACTAATTGTAAGTTGGAGCCCCTTTAGAAGAGTGGATCAAAGGCGGCCAGTCAAACTCCCATGCTAAACCAAGCGCTTAATAACACATCAGCTTCTGTGTTTGCTCTCTGACTAAAGAAAAAAGACTGTGAATGTGTGATTAAGGGCAGAATTTGGCTCATTTACAATTCCTGAAAGGGTTGCTTCTCAGACCATAATCATATTTTTGGAACAGAACACGCCTATTACATCTTGTTGTTAATAATTTACTCCCTGGGTAGTGTTCATTACAACAGCATCATCTCAGTCGGGTTATGTTCATAGCTGCTTCACCAACTGCGGTTATGAGAAAAAGCAAATGCACACATGCATATATATAGACACATGCATATGTGCACGGAGAGAGGTCAATGGTCAAACACTCAAAGTCAATTAACTTGGTTATCTGACAAGCTCATGGATCAGTGATGAGTGACCAAGAAGTCACACGTTCTGAGAAATGCTCTTTGCAAGGAAACTCAGATTTCCTATCCAAGACTGTGAAGAAATGGCTCTGGAGAGATTGTTTCGGATAAATCACTTGCTCTGCTCTCTTGAGCATCCCCACAGTCATCACCAACGAGATTTTGCAGAATGGGAGGAACGCCCTTTAGACACACACATTGATAACGAATGCAAATGGAACTGGAAGACTGATCAGACCAGGCTGCTATGGAGAATCTGATTCCTTGGCGTCAACAGATGTGAGGTCCAGCTGTGGAGCTAACTTCAGTGTAGCGGAGATCCCAGTAGGTAATGAGCTATACCACCAGCTGTAATGGTTTCTTTTCATTGACATGAAGCGTGGGCAGAGAGCACGTCATTCTGTTTGATCTACTAATCAGCGCTGATTCATGTTTACACTGCAGATAACATTTCATCTGCTTTTAGAAGGTCATTTTCAAGGGATGCTATATGGTTTCAGTATTGCCTGATGCCTGCAATCTGAATATCTTTTGAAGGCAGCCAAACCTTAATTTTCCTTGTGGGCTAGAATTCATTCAGCTGTTAGCATCAACACAATTTTTCATGCTGAATATCAGATACTATACATTATAAATTATCTGTCACCCATAAAGCTAAAATACAAGAGGCAAAAAGACCTTGTGAGCTTCATTTTTAGATAAAGAAACTACGGCAATGAATAATTATTTTTGTAGAACCCAAAGTGTTTAACTTTGAATGCCTCAGATTCTGGTACCAAAACTTTAGTTGCCATTGACCTGGGAAGGCACTTACTATTTCAGAGAAGCCCATGCTAAGCGATGCCTACAGAAAATACTGGAAATGTACAAAATGCTAAATTTCAAAACAGAATTGTAGGGTGAGCTTCCTACGTTGAAAGAGCGGTGTGGTTTGGCCAGTGCTATTAAACATGTGCGTCGTCACTGAGAAGGGAGAAAATATGCAATGTCTGCTGCTTAAGGCTAGAGATGACACAAAGTCTGGGAAAGTGGTAATTAATTAAGAGCCCAGGTCACTGATACAGACGCCTCTAGATATGTGGAAGTCAGTGTGCAACGTGCTACGGACAAACATAAAATTGCCTCTGGATGCAAATAGTGTAGCTATGGCACGGGGCACCATGTGGCAATGTCACCTTTGGGGTAAATGAGGTTGGTGGTACCTCCTGTGGTCTTGTTTCTCTGATTATCTTGAAAGGAGACCTCCCGGGAAAGGCCATGGCTACCTTCTGGTGAGTGAAGCTCCTTTCCCTGGAAACAGGAGCATAAGGGATGCTCTATGTCCAAGTCTCCTTTCAACAGGAACTTTGAACACACTCAGGATGTACCTCGAACGGGTGTGAGACCTGGAAATGCTCCTCAGTCTTTCACAACCAAAACCTCTGAGCAAAACTTGAGATCACAGCAAAAAACTGATGGACAAGGAGCTGAGGTTGAGCTTATGCCAAAATGACTAACACGCTCTGTGGATGTATGAATTCAAGTAGAAGCAGGCAAATCACATTGCTCCTGCAACTGGTACTTGTGCAACTTCTTACTGGAATACGGTGTCTGGTTCTTATGGAAGTGCTCCAAAAAGGATGTTGACTAATTAGAAAAAGTTTAAGGAAGAGCCATATGAATCATTAAAGCTTCAGAAAACATGTCTTTTAGCAAGAGACTCCAAGATTGAGATATATTCAGTTTTTTAAAGAGAAGATTAAGGGACAGTTTTATCTCAGCCTGTAAACAGCTAGAAGGACAACAAAAAATTTGTAACACGTTTTTCAGTCTAGCAGACAAGTGTACAACAAGATTCCCTGGCTAGAAGTCATGGATAAACCCATCCAGACCAAAAAAATGAGTTATCCAGTAGAGACTGGATATTTATCCAGTGATACTTACTTCTGATCAACTGTTCAGGTTGACATAAAAAAAAAAAAACTCCAGCAAAGTCCTTTGCTCTGTTTGACAGAGGTTTTATCACTTTATAATAGTGACCCTCCCTGTAAATGTACAAATTTACAATCTGCAAATCTAGAAGGTCCAAACAGTGAATGGTCAAAATTAAAGACTTACAAATAAATACAGCTTAGCAATTTGTTCAACTAACTTAGGTATGAGTGATTTCATCAGTCATTCTGGCCGTTTCCTTGGCTAGTTTTCCTCTGTTCACCCCCAGGCTGTGTCTTCCCAGAGCCAGGCTAGAAGATGAAAAGGCAGAAACCTCCAAAGAAGTTCTAGGAAAGTACCTCCACATCAAACGTATATCCCAGGCTCTTTGCTTAATGGACGAAGACTTGTTTCCACTATGTCAACACCAAGGAAACACCACTGTCATGGGAGAAGGTGAGCTGAACTATGCTCTCCCTGGTGCAGCTCCGTTCTGACTGAGCTCATGTCCCCAGCAAGATAGGACAAACCCAGCTGGAGTCTCGGAGCAGAAGTCATCAGTCAGAAACACCATCATCCCTTGACGTGTGATCTGATCAGGCCTGACCTGGGTATCACTGAAGAGGGACAGCATACCCACTGTGCCAGCTGAGACACTCCTCTGACTGGTGATCCAGCGGGCAGAACATTATCCTCATACATTTAAAAAAACCACCTTATTCCAACCTGGCTGTCCTCCTGATCCCTGGTGTTTCGATTACTAAATGTCCTTCACATGGAGAAGCCTGGAGCAGACCATCCCTGTGGGAGAACAACGGACGCAATGGAAGGGAGGAGGATCACACGTGACCATCCCTTGTCTGTAAAATGTGCGTTTGCTGGGTGGAACAAAGGTTCCTCTCTTCAGTTCTTCCTCTGTTCACTTAGAAGGTACATCCCACCACGTGGTCCAAACACTGGTTAGAAGCATGGAAAAGCCATGTGACGTTAATCTCTGCTATACTAGCATGTGTTAACAGGAGGGTCTAACAGAACCATCTGCACTTGTTAAAGTGAGGAAGACAGCAATCAACTTCATCGAAAAATGGAGGCGGCCCCATAGGAATGAGACCACTACCCAGGAAGGCTAAAAAAGCAATGGCATTGGTAAGCCCCTCTGAGATATCCCACTGCAGTGACCAGACATGTACTGACCTCGGACATCTGCGGGAAGAGACTGATGGCCAAGGGGAGGGCCAGGCCAAAGGCAGCGAGGCACACAAGGCTTTGGACTGGGAGAATCATCCGGGGACGGGACCTCAGGAATGATGTTCTGGAAAGGAAAGGCTTCGTTAAACCATTTTATAGACCATGTGAGTGCATGCCATCATCAAAAAGGACACTGGTGTTCACCCAGACCCACTGGTCTCCCTCTCCCTAACTGGTCTAGGTTCCTTCTTAGCAGGTCATCAACAAGTTCACCCACAAAAGATCCCGAGCCCTACACACCGTGCTTTTGCATCTACTGGGGTTACACAGCCCACGCCAACCCAAGAGCTCACAACAACAGGCTCACTTCACACACGCTCCCCCCATTTCAAACCATCTCACACTGGAGTAAAGAGCACACGAGGTCATCTGGCCGCACGCAGGTGTCACCTGCATTAGGGCTTTGGAGACTACGTTGAGTGACCAGAAGGAAATCAGATTCTTGAGAGCTATAGTGAACTTTGCAAGGTAGGTACTGAAAAAGGCACAGGACTTTGTCAATGGAGCAATAAAGTAGTAACCTTGATGATACTTTAATTTGTTAAATACCAAACACCTGCAGAGTGGGTGATAAGGATGTTTTAACACTCGCTGTCCCCAGGGGATATTTACGAGTTCAAGACTTGTTAACAGCAAACACTTTAAGATACCGCAAGGTCAGGTTCTGATAATGACCCATCAAGTGACCCTTCTGATGCCATTAACACCGAGTGACAGGGACAACATTTAGCTGGTAGGAGGTGGCATGTTAAGTATGTCCCAGGATATGGGACCTCAGACAGTTTATAAATGTTAAGGGGAAGAATGCAATTCTTGAGGCGTTTGTTCTGGAGCTATTTACACCAAAACGACACCTGTCATTCAACTTTCTTCTACTGGTCTGAAACAACTGGGAATATAAACCAGCAACTTGATAGTGAGTTTTGTTTGAATATTCAGCGTATATTAGCAACGTAAAGTCAGCAGATTTGCTGCTGGGTCATCACTATGGCCTTAGTCCCAACGTGCATCTCCCCTCTGTCCATCCCGATCTTGAGGATGCCGACGAGTCATGGCGTCCTGCCATCAAACATGGGCAAAGAGCTGCTACTCAACACCTTTCCACTGGGGTGGTAACAGAGGAGCTCTCTTTTGGTCAAGGAAGGTACAACCAGATTACGCTACCCGCTAAACATCACTGTGGTTACCATCGCTGGGATTTTGAAAAAGCAGTCCGAATCCAGTGCGCACCATTCACGAGGTGCCTACCAAAACCAAGACAAGCAACCCTTCCCACATCAGGGCACGCCGCTAGCCTGCTTTGGCGCACGCACAAGTGTTTTTGCAGGCACATCTCCCCGTGCAGCCCGTGCTTGCAGCCAATGCAAGATAACAGATTACCTCAACCCCCGTCTACTCCACGTTTACTGCAGGCTACAAACACGCACCTGATGAATTATAACGGAGCAGCTGATGT